CGATGTAAACAGTGTGAGAAACTGTGAACTACAGACAGCACTTAATGAAGGATTATTGATGGCCTGGCTTCAGCTCCTTCCCCCACCCTGCATTTCCTTGTAATTTTGTTTTTCAGAGTGTTTTTCCCTAGGATTCTCTCCTGTGTTCTTTTCATTCCTGTTAAGTATGAGCCTTCCTGAAGTTTACCCTCTCACATACCTCGCCAGGAAGCATTGATAACCAGCCAAGGAAGATTGGTTTCAAATTTTCAAGTGCTTTACAGTGAAGCTGGAACCAAGGGGGCATCTGTAGGCATCTCCCCCCAGGGCCCCTTTTGTATCAAGAGGTTCTGTTGCTGTGCAGCTGGTTCCTTGCAGAGAATCATCACCTCCCTCCGAAAATTAAACATCACTTAGGTCCCTAGGGCCTGGGCTGTAGGGCAAGAGGAGGAGTGAGGAGTGTGACTTTTTTGCCCTTCTGGTAGGGCAGGTACCTGTGATTTGTCTTCCGCACAGCTGAGGAAGCAGTTCCCCTGGCCTGCGGAGATAGATGACTCCGGCCATGAGTTACACACTATAATACCCTAAGATGAGACAGTGCATTGGCGTCAGTATCCTTAGCTGTTTTCATCTCCACACTCTTTTTTTCTCTGTATCTGTACTTGTGTACATACAGAATTTGCTGCTTCAGTATTAACATCAATTAGACCCAAACAACATTGTGTTCTGGAGGCCGTTAGACACAAGTCAGCCCTGTAGAAGCAGAATAGTCAGTCAAACCTTCCTAGTTTGGAGTGGGCAATACAGGACATAGTGGTCTGCTAGGAAACTCCATTAGGTCTGATGGGCCTCTTCCAAGTTCAGTTTCTCAAATGCTGGGAGAGTGTCCCCCTCCCTCACTCCCACCCCCACCATAATAAGCTCTGCATGTGTTTGTTTTCAGTTCCTTTTCTTGTGATGTTAATCAAAGAGTGATTGTGATGATGAGAACTAATTAGTGAGCTTCGTTATTAACAGTTCCCCTTTGAGTCTTGCACAAGATAATCCTGAGTAGTTAATTTTTAACTAATAGGTTGACTGTGATGCCTGTTTCCCTGTGCTCTTTTGTGTGTTGTGACATTAGTCTCTCACCAGTCTTAACTATTTTAAGGCCTATGCTTGGGATATTTTCAGTGGGAAAAAAAATCAAAGAATTCTCTCTGCTAACAGCCTTTTACCAGTTCCAGAATTCACAGAACAAGTTCTGTTCCCCTAGGGTGCAGTTGACCGGGCTGGCTAAGTAGTGTTCTCGCAGACCTCAGTCCTGACCTGCCATTGTAAGGATTCTCCCGTTTTCTCCTCGCACCCCCTGCACCCCCGCTCCAACTCTCTCACTCTCCCAATCTTGGCAGTTCTTTGTACTACATCTTTTTAAACGTGTATTTGCTAAACAGCAAGGCACTGTGTAGAGATAAGTGTCGATCCAACTGCTGAAGGGGATTTCGTGTAGCATTCACGCGTACCCACATGTGGAAGAGGTTTGGCCTGACAAGCCAGAAGTGAAGGCTGAGTGGGAGTGTCTAATTAAGGTATCTTTATAATTATTTTCCTCTCTCCAAGGATCATCCTGCCTTTCCCCAGGGTCGTTCAAAACCCGGCTCCTCTAAGTTTGAGGTAGAGATATTAACATCCTTTGAAATGAAGTCACCCCAGAGGCATTTGTTGCATCATTACTTTCTCAATTTCAAGGTGCATTGAGGAGGTAGAAACATTCCTTAAAGAGATGCCATCCACAATAGCAGGTTAAATGTGGCTAATGCGACCTTAAATTAGATTTTCTAGGAGTACAGGAATACTTTGTATGGTTTATTTTGGAGCACAGGTAATGTAAAAGCTACCAGGGCAATAAAAAAGACTTATCTGCTCCGAAGTACAGTTGTTTCTTGATTATTTACACCACTGGAGGGGAATATTGGTATACAAAACAGAAAGCTATAGTTAATTTATCTACTAGGTTCTCAAAGCCTTGCAGAAGTATAGTGCCAGATAACTATGGCAAATAGATTCTCAGACCTGTGTAAATAAGCGATAGTGTAGAAAATCTCAGGATGAGAATCTCCGTAACTAGACTTCTGAGCAGAAATATTTTATTTTTAAGTCTTACCTTGAAATGAACGTTCTGTGTCAGAAGTCTCAATGTTATAATCTCTTTAAATCTGAAGACTTTAATCTTTATCTTTAAAAACACATTTTGGAGTTACAAAGTTAATAAACAAATTTTTTATTTCACCAAACCTCAGCTCCTGCTTCAGGATTTCTGGAGAATTTAAAACGTCATTTTGATGACACTGAGCTTTATCACTTCATTGTCCTTACTATCCACCAGGCATCCTCAGCTCCCTGGTAGGGCCTAACCTGGTCCTTCTTACACTGTTTATCATAAGCAAGTTTTCTCTATTTACCTATTGCTATAACCCAAAATAAGCGTAAGAGCCTGAACCACATGGCTGTACTTGCCCAAGCTCTTTGGAAGGCAAATCATTTAACCACATTCAGTCAATTTAATAGTAATATGATCAAAACTTCCAAAATAAGTAATTACTATAGCTAGATTAGCAGGGAATGGTTTATGACTATACGGCCTGAGGGAACTTGTCAGTAAGCCACTGAAACAAATAGTAAGTTTCAAGGATTCTTGTACTGAAAAGGAGCATGCCTAGCAAAGGAAGCACTTGAGATGATGAGGAAAAGACAGGCACCATTGTCTGCCTGTGACGAGATTTGAAGGAGCTGGCATCTTTTGGTGATCACATTCAATTTAATTGACTTTATAAGAATTTTTTTATTCCTAAAATCTATCAACTTGGACAAAATTTCCTCTTTTCCTTTAATGAGTGGTCCATAGGCATATCATCTTATTCAGGCCTTTGGAACACTTGCCTGAAGTGGGAGATCTCTGGGTCTTATCTTGCAATTTTGCCCCTGGAAAGAAACGTGGCCAATTCTGGCCAGCCTTTAAAATTTGCTTTTATGCCTTCAATTGCCATAGTTGGCTCTCATTTCTACTATTTGTCACAGTAGATGTCATATCACATTCTCTTAAGCTGTCTTCCCTTGTGTTTCAGGAATAGGACTGTTATGGTATATATAGGCTGAGGCTTAGGAAGGATCAGGAACATCTGTTTATTTTTATTGCATGGCTAATAAATAGGGAGGTACCATTGTTTCTCCTTCACTCTCAGTCTTATTTAAGTACCGATCTTGATAAAGTAGGTAATTGTTTAGCAAAATAAGACAAGAGTCTGCTGCAACTTCCAAATTTTTAGTATTAATATTAAAGGCATTCCTGTTTGTATGTGCTGCTGTTAATCCTATAAGGATCTTATTGTTAGATAAATACGTGCAAAACCAGTGGTGAGCAAAAGCTTGTTTCTGAAAAATACAGATCACTGCAGTCTTGAGGGAAAAGGTCTTCTCTTCAGAGACATGAAGGAGCCTCATGATTTTCAATAATCAATTTGATCATTGTTGTTGACTTACTGGCTCAGCTCGTGAATAATGCTCCAAATTTAGACCAGTATGGCATAAGTATTTTAATCAGGTATTGCTTTCTTTCCCATGGAACAGTTGGCTTTTGAGGCTGTTCTGGACTTTGGCCAACTGCCAAAAAAAGCATTTTCCCACCATATATGTACAGTAGGGTATGTATTGCTCAAGTGTGCACTTGGGTGAGTTTCCAGCCCACTGAAGCTCATTGTTACCTTACCTTTTCTCAGTGTGCCATTAGAGATATTGAGAGTGGATGACTCCTTTTTTCTGAGGATTTGTTTGAAGGGAAGGATGAATCTCATTACTATAAATATTGTTTTCATCCCAGCCTACCTCACTGCTTCTGAATGAGAAGGAGCCCCTTTGGCTGCTGTTAAAACTCTCAAATACTTGATGGCTTGTTAAATTTTCATTATCTAATGTGTATTAATTTAGATACAATAGTTCAGTTGCTAGGAGCAGAGACAGAAAGGAAGAGCTCAGCAGAGGGCAGATTGCTTGTACACAGGGGATGGGAAAGCATGCCGGGCTTGCTGTCCGCCGAGGGAGTTCACAGTTCTGCTGGTTGGGCTGAAAACCTCACCAACTGACGTCCACTGACTATTCCCCCAGCACATGGGTTGTGATATTTTGATGCTTGCTTACTCAATCATCTGTTTAATTAGCTTGAGAGACTGAAGGATTTGAAACCTCATAGCTCCTCTGTAGCTGAGAGCTCTGAGGTCAAAGTGTCCATGGTTTGGTATTCCTCAGGGTAGAGTGTGTGCACTTCGAGTTGATATCTGAATAAAGTTTTAAAAGTGCTGTGCAGTTCCATGTGATTTTATTGTTTCTATATTTATTCCTGCTGACAGGACGTGGTATGAGAACACGTCCTAGAAGTTTCCCAGGCTGGGAACAGGAGCAGTGTGCCCATGCCCCAGCTCATGCCTGAACAAGCACTGGAGAGCAAGGTGGCTGTCTCAGCACCCAAAGAAGGCTTCACACTTCTCCTTCAGCAGTCAGCTCTGAATACATAGCCTTCTCGTGACTGAGGATAAATGGCATTGGTTTTCCTGGGAAAGGGCTTTAGGGCCTGTGTGACACAGCCTGGGGAGCACTTTTTAATTTTTATAATGAAAATTAAAGGTTAAATTTTTCTCCACATCAGGTTAGTGTTAGTTTTCTCCTCTCAGTTTTATGCTCTAAGAAAAGGAGCTCTTTTTCCTGTCCCAGAGGAGTGGAATTCTCATTTCAAAGCACCTTCCTAACTTGTATATCCATTGAGTGCTTAGTAACAGAATAGAGGGAAGCAGTCAGTGAGAATATGCTGAAAACTTTGATGAACCACATGAGACCTTTTTTATGTCATGGTTTCAGAAACATCTGATTTCATAGGGTTAATTGCCTAGCTTCCCCTGGGCCACCAGACATTTTGCTCTAGGACAGAGAAGGAAACATTTACCTGAATCCCATTACTTTTCTCATGATTCTCTTCTGATTTTCTTCACCAGGACACCCAGAAAGCAAAGCAGTTCCTGCCCTTCCTCCAGCGGGCAGGTCGTTCCGAAGCAGTGGTGGAATACGTCTTCAGTGGGTCCCGTCTCAAGCTATATTTGCCAAAGGAAACGTGCCTTATCACCTTTTTGCTTGCAGGTAAGCCTTTGTTAGGCCAAAAATTCTTCCTGGAGCTCAGAAGTCATCCCTGGGAGTCACTCCCTCTTCTCCTCTTTGTTTCACACAGCACAGAAGCCCATCTGGCTGATTCACTCTAATTGAGATACAAACACACAGTGTCAAGATTTGATCCCTCTGTCACTGCGAACCTGACACCGGGCCCTCTCCCTGCTCATTTCCACCAGCCGCAGTGTGTGTCCTCACACAGCCTGAGTGAAAGGATTTCTGGGTGGGAAAACATTCGTGGCAGGATTCTCACCATTGGTGTTTCCCATTTGAGATTGATGACCCCGCCGTGTTAGTCCTGGGCAGGCTGCACAGGGGTGGAAACCCACTGCCCTTTTTCTAGCTCCCAGGCAGCGCCGTTTGTCTCTCTCTTTTATTCTTTTCAAATGTTATTAGGATCCAAATCCTTTATGAAACCTCAGCCATGACATTGCCGTCACGGGCTCCTGCATCTATCGTCCTTCTGTTGCACAAAGCTTGCCGGGCTTGGAAAGCCTGCCTTTCTTTCTGATAGAAGATACAGCTTTCTTTTCCTATCTTTTCTAGTAGCTTAATACTTCACACGTCAGCAGGACTGTGTATGAACTGTGCTCTTTGAGCAATTTACCTTTATACATCCAAGGAGTAGACTGCTTCATTTCTTCCCTGCTGGTAAATCATAAAGTTCTTTATTTCCTGTCGGTACTTCGCAGAGGCTGTGGTCTTGAAGAGAAAGTGCTATTTCCCTCCAGCACCCCACTCCTGGACACACTAGCAGTCCCTGGCTCACAAAGGACACGTTCCGTTGTGTTCTCTGGTGCACATCGCCGATTCTGTTGCTGGCTTATTGCCTCCGCACTTTCTCTGTTGGATTCTTGAATAGGATTTGCCAGGAGCAAAGAGGAATAGGAGCCCTGTTTGCTGTCCCTGCCTCATCCTCACTTGCCTAGAGGGCGCCGACCCTGTCTTTGGTTGAGGTGTCCCTCAGGCCCCAGCGGAATGTGTTGTTATGTGAGAGAAATCACTGACTGAATGCGTGACCTTGGTGTTCACACAGCTGCTGGTGTCACTTTGCATTCAGGCTCCTGCACCCTCTTCAGAATTGAAGTATGACACGAAGCTCAGGGGCCACTATAGGAAAGATGGTTGCAACACATTCACACCTTCCTGGAGACTGTACTTTTATTTCTGAGAATGTGAATTGTAGTCACCTGGGGGGCGGTAGAGTGGTGTGTACTCGAGAGTCCTTTCATTCTGCCATTTGTGCCTTATTTAGATTTCCTTAGCAGAGAAGTTTTTCAGCAATGGTTTCTTATTGTTACAGAGTATGAGTTATATATTCAACTCAGCCTATGCTCTGTACCTACAAAACAAAAGCATCCCATTGGCAGCGTAGAGCTTTATTCCAGAAATAAAAAATAGAAACAGTATTCTTTCTGGGAAACTCAGCGTCAGATCAGTATGGGAGTGAAAACAAAGTTCTGGCTTCTAAACTTTAAACTACCTGAGTGGAGCCAGCTTAAAGCTCAGGCCTGCCTTGACTGGGTTTTTCCTTTAGAACCCTTCTTTCGGGTCGTACCTTGCCTCAGACACACGCACAGTGTGATCACTCAACCCTGCATCAGCCATTCCCCTCGTGTACTTGGCATTATTCTAAGCTTAGCAATTCAAAACATTGTCTGAATTAACTTACATTCTGAAAGGTAGATTACAGAAGCATACACATGATAAAAATACAAGCTTTTACATTTTTTTTCCTGCCATACTATGAATATATGTGATTCTATTATGCATCATCTGGTTTCTTTAGAAACCTGGCAAGGATATAGGACCTTTAAAAGCCATAAGAGAAATCAGACCTTGGTTTGAATCTGGCTCTCCTGTGTACAGCAGGTGACTTTAGGTAGATTTTTTACTCTCTTTAAACCTTAGTTTACGTGTCAGTTACCTGGAGAGTTTCTTGCCTCTCAGGATTTTTGTGAGGGTTTAATGAAATGTATAAGGGGTTGAGAATAAGCCTGTCCTAAAGTAGATCATAAATAAATATGTTTCCTTCTTCTTGCTTATGAATTAGTGAATTTGTAACTAGAGATTTCCTAATCTCCAGTATGGAATGGTAAGGCAATGCAGTGTGTGTACCATGGAGATGTTGGCCTATCTGATCATGGAAATACAGGAAAGAGCTGACTTCGCCTCCTGACTAAGCAAAAAGCTCACTGAAAGGAAGTCTACTGGCTTTTCCCTTTGAGTTTGGAGCAAGGAACTCTGCATCCTCGTCAGACATGGTCCTGGGTCTCAGAAAGCTCTAGAGGGAAGACAGACATGTAAACATACTGCAGTGTTGGTCACTGGGTGAGATAATAAAATTATTTTCAATGTATATAAGTAAAAAGAAGAGGGAATGGTTAGTTATTTTGGTGGAGATCAGGGACTGTCTTCCTGAGGAGCTGATAACTGAGATGTGTTTTGAGGGACAAATAGAAATTTGTAACATTGGGGGAAAGGAGTAAGGGAGGAACATTCTAGATAAAGAAAATAAAGTTGTGGAGGTGTGCTACGTACTGAGGTGTCCAGGCAACCATGAACAATCCATTGGTATTGGTCGAGTGTCTGTAGACCTGCAGGGCCACCCAAGGTATGACGTGAGGGAGTGATTGGTTTATTTTGATGGATACATTGAAATTAAATGAGGCTGGAGGCTCGGAGGGCACTTAAGAAGCCAGAGTAGTAGAGGCTTGAAATCTGTCAGTTCAGAAGAGGAGACCTTGGAAAAGTTTTTTGGTCAGGGATGGGTCTCACATTGAGTATAGGAGAGAAAAAGCAACTCATCCAAGCCTTGAGTAATTAGGCAGCTTGTGATATCCACCAGCAGGGGCAACACCAAAGTCAGAGTAAGTTTTAGGAACAGATAATTGGTGGTCAGAGGATTAGATGTAGAATCCTGAGAGAGTAGTTTTCTGGAAGCCAAGGGAGGAAAGAATTGCAAGGAATCAGCAGTGTCAGATTTTACCTGAAAGATCAAGTAGGCAAAAACTCTGAAGTGATGTAGTAAGTCGCAGATGACCTGTGTCGGTGCAGTTTCATCAGAGTTTTTCAGCTAAAGACAGATTACAGGTGATTGGGAAGTAAATGTGGGAAATAAGGAACAATTAAAAACAGGCTGTTCTTCACAAAAATCTAAGAAAGAAAAGAGTACAAAAACAAAAGCTTAAAGGGTCAAGGAAACATTCTAAGGGTGTCAGCATCTTGAGTACTTTTATAACTGTAATTCTTATTCAAGATGAGCAGAACATGGCATGTATAGTTTAAGAAGATATTCAACATACCTTTTTTCATAATACCAATTGTGGAATGTAAAACTCAACAAAATCTTGGCAAATGAGAATATAAAAAAGATGGAGTGGGAAAATATCATAGGGAACATGAGAGCGCTGGTCTGAATTCCAAAAAGGAACTAAAGAAAGGGTACAAGGAAATGATCAGGAACAGTGGCCTGGAGGAGACAGAATGAGGTGGGGGTGGGGGCTGTCCTTAGAGAAGGAGCCCTGGGGCCTCTCAGACCAAGTACAAAGCAGACACCAGATTCATAGTGGGGGCTGGTTCACCTGGACAGTGAACGGCAGCACACAGCTCCTCAGGTAACTGGGGGGTGTGCTGTACACTGGGCCAAAATGGCATTCTACTGCCAGTGTCTCTGATGCCAGGAGGGGGTTGGGTGGTGATTCTCAAGGGGAAAGTCAAGATAATTGTTGAGCAGCCCTATATGGGCTGCTGCCATTAATTCCAGTCTTTTGGAGAGCCTTCTGGACTTAAAGGTGGGGTGGACACTTTCCATTTTTATGTGGCCTCTTTTGGGCAGACGGCCCCACAGCTTGAAAGGGAGTGGTATTTGGCCCGAGCCAGCTGGCCTCTCTGTCACGGTTCCTGCACCCCTGTACGGGCAGCGATTCTTGGTCAGATGGGAAAGCAGGTGGGGCTGCGCGGAGTCAGCTGTAGCTCACAGGTCAGTGGCTCCTGAGAGCTCTTGCCCTTCAGTCCTTTGAGCACCTGGCTTGGGCTTGGTCCATGAGCAGGTGACCTTACACCATCAGAGCCGAGACTGTTCAAGGTCCCTCTGCTTGCCACTGTGGCCTCCATCTATGCACACTTACTTCATTCAGTCTTGGAGGGAATCACAGTCAGTTCTTGTCCTGAGTTAGCAGGCAAGCCAAGATCTCCAGGCAGCCCACGTTTGTTTAAAAGCAGCCTTTTCCCTCATCTGGCATTAGTGAGACCTACATGTCCTTCCAGTAGAAGAAAACCAATTTACCCACAATCTTTATTTTTACTTTATTCTCACTTGCCATGTGTCACATCTTTCTTATTTTCTTGCCTAAAGGGATACTGAGGCACACATATTTGCAGATAGCTTGGCTCTTGATTCACATTTGTATTTAATAGCACCAGTGGACATGGAGTGTGTGTCTTATGGTTAAGATTTATATTGTTTCATCATTTTGAATTACTCTTAGCTCTGGGGTATGCTAAGAGCACAGTTCTGTCCTGAAGCATACCAGGTCAGGTTAGTACCTGAAACAAAAGGCTTAAATCAGAAGAGAAAAATACTTTGAGGTTTCAGTGCCAAGTAATCTAAGTAGTTGTAAGTAAGATATTTGGAGTCTTCTGCTAACACAGACTGAGCCCCTTCCATTTACATTTCCATGTTCTCAAAGGTGGGACAGCATTATGTGTGAGGAATTACAGACAAGGCAAATTTGAAGTGTTGGAATGGTGTCAGTCATCTTAGATGGAACGCATGGTACAAGCCACCTTGAAGGAGCCGCCACCTGGTAGGGAGTTCCCAGGTAGATCACAGCAGGTGACAACCAGTTACCTCATCGTGTGAAACAGGGCTAGAAAATGAGACTTCCTTTTGCCTGTCCTTTGGTATTTAAATCTCTCTCTCTCTCTCTCTCCGATTATAACTCCCCTCTGGAGGTGCATTATGACAAGGCAGGAAATGAGAAAAGGTTCTGGGTGTCTGAGGTTTGATAAATGGTGGTGGCTATATGCCTGGCAAACTAAGGTTTGGCTGTGTGTCCTTCCACCTTGAATGCCTTTAAATAAAGTACCCATTTCCTTATTTCTTTTTAACGGCTCTTCTGCAGCCAGTCCCAATAGGTGTATCAACTGCCTGTTTCAGTAGACCCAAAACTTCTAATGAGAAAGGAGAAGGAAGGTGAACGGGAGTATCATCCCCATCTCCTGGCCCCAGGAATGGTGGATCCCCATTGATTACCAGTACCTAACCAAATTACACAATTAAAACCAAAGTATGTTGAAGTGAGAAATCCCATTCTGCTATCACAGAGGTGCTAATGAATCAGGCTGTTCTTATGGTTGTATTTGCTGGGCTTCTATCCTTAATTAAGCAATTACAGGGTCTGCTGATACTTATGAATTCCTTTCAGATGCTTTAATTGAATTGCAGCTTAATGGATTTTGTAAAGTGGGGTATTCTTTCTCTTGGGACTTCCCAGTTTGATTGTATCTCCACACCTACTTGCTTTCAGTTGGGCCCCATTACTGGAAATGGGTAGCTTGACATGAGACCTCCAGGGCTGCTCTAATTCACTTCAAAGATACTGTATTGTTGTATGAATTACATGAATTGCGGTCATGTCAGGAGGTCCTGGAGGGTCACTTGGAGGAAGGCATTAGCACGATAAACAGGGTTGGGAGCCTTTTGTCTTTGATAGACAGACTGTGGATGATACATAAATTACATTTCTACTTTCCTGAAGAGCTTTGTATCTGTGGTATAGATAGTCATATGAAAAATTTGAACAAGGAAAAGTAAAAAGGAGTTATGAAAAGTACAGGCAATATACCATGGGAGTGCAGAGGAAGGAACAATTGGAGAATGGAAAAGACTTCCCAAGAGAGACGGAATGTGAGCATCAAAGAAGATCTGGAACAATTTTTTGGGGCAGGCTATGTGTGATTCATGTAGGCAAAACAACTTAGCCTATATTATTAGTTCTCAGGAAGAGTTGCCTAAGAGAAATGGATATATTCATCAATCATTTTTCTCTCTGCTTTTGTATGGACGAGTAAATGGCCCAAGCTCTGTTGCCATTGAGCATTCAGTACTCTGCCCTTGACTCCCCATCTCAGGTATGCCATACCATTACCCACTGGTCTTGTGGATGAAAGTGCAAGCCAACCAGCATGTCCTGATTATCTCCTGTCTTTGGATTATGAATCATCTCCAAAATGAGCCACCTCATACTTTTGGGTCATTCAATCACATGCCTATTTAATAATTCAATCACATATTTTATTTCCACCAGGCATTATGCTAGGAATATAGAAATGCGTAAGATGGGAGTTTCAGCCTTCAAGCAAAGTAATTGTGTCTATTCACATAAATAATATATAGGCATGAAAGAAAACATACATTTTTAAGAAGGCTAAGAGTAGGAGAAATATGCCTAAAGTGCCATACAAATGAAAACAACTTAGATTTTCATACAACAATAACAATAAATGTTGTGCTACTGTCAAAAAAGCAGGAGCAATCCTATTCTGTAACCCAGAAATACAGGATCCATAGAGGAGTGCTGCCAAATGCTGCCTCAGCCCAGGTCCCTGCAGGCCTGAAGCATATTCCATCTCAGGACCGTCATACAGAAGAGGCAGCAAACGGCAGATCAGAGTGAGCAGGATGCTAGAAGATTCACAAATGCCACAGTACCTGAGAACCAGTAGTAGGCATCAAAGGAGATTTCTAGAATATGGTAGAGGGTTTCAGGGTAAAAGAGGCAGGAATTCACTTTGTCCAGTAGGCATTTCAAATATTTTTTTGACTGAGAGTATTATTAAAACACCAATAAAAATAAGATTTGCTCAGTATGGTTTACTGGTAGTCACAGACCTTGGAGCTAAAACATTTAAAGATGAATTCTTGCATTCCTGCTTTCAGTTACCCATTTCCTTCAAACTGGCCTGCATATGTTGGTGTAATGCTGGGACCCAGAGGGAGGGAGGGGCAAGGCCCACATGGCAGTTCTGTGCCAGCCTGCCTAGAGACTCATGCCACTGAAGGAAGGATAGACCTCGCGGCGGCACCATCTTCTAGAGAGTGTCAGCCCAACCTCCTCGCTGGTGTCCAGCCCTCATCATCTCAGTTGGGTGTTCTGTGCCAAGAAACAGAAGTTGTTGATTTATTCTCAGCTGTTACGTGATAGGCCCATCAATTCCCCCAGGATGGAATTGGCAAAGGTAAGTGAAAGGGATCCCAACCTCCTAAATCCTCTGATTTCTGCCTCTACTGTTAGCTTTTGAGTTTCACTTCTGGCGCTTTTGAGTTTTAATGTAGCTGAGACAAGGGAAAGTGGGTCCTGGTACAGGACCAGGCCTCTTCCATGCAGAGCTACTAAGAGCCAGTAGAGTGGTACGAAGGGTAGCCCTGCGAGCTTCCTCCACCCCCACCCCCAGCCTGGGGGTTCCTTGTCCATTCCTTCTCCTCCCCTCCCGCTTGCAGGTTCTTCCTAAGTCTGTAAAGCCTATGTAGGCTGCTCTCCACCTGGTGGGCATGAGGGGTAGGAATGGGAAGCTTACTGAAATCTGATGACAGTTCTCTGCTGGAGCGTTTCCAACGCCAACACCTGTCGCTGGTTGTGCTCAGATACCCCAGTTCTAATTCCATTCTGTAGCTTTCCCAGAAAAATACATTTCTGTGTGGATTTTTCAGTCCCATCTTGTCAGCCCACTGGCATTTCCCTGCAGCCACTTAGTAGTACTGGTGCCAAGCAGCAGCATCCAGGATTGGGCAGCCTGCTACTACCCTTTCCCTGTGGGGGTGACTATTTCGCCAGCCTAATAGAAGAAAGTGGCAGGACCAGGATGCAGGAGAGGGAGTGTAAGTGGTGTGATAATTTGAAATTAAGAGGAAATACCTTGAAACCTGGTAATGGACAGCCCCAGGGTGAACAGTGCACACCACCTGTAAGACTTCATCTGGTTTCTATGGGAACCACTGATCACATCCCCCTTTCAAACAGAGATATGACTCGGTATAAAAAAAAAATAGTTTCTCGTCATTGACAAATTTCCTTGCCCCCAAGCCCCAGGTCGTTGCTCTCTGTGGATTATCTTCAGAATGTTTTCTTGAGCCTTGCCCAATCCAATGGGCTGGATTTGGCAGAGCCTAGGCCTGGTCCCCTGTATGAAGTTTGAATGAATGGCACTAACTAACAGAAAATTAGGACACACTAGGTGCTCAGTGTAGACCACTAGGCCGAGCCCCACCCCTGCTGTTGCCCCTGAGGGGGTGCCACTGGTTTCCACTCAAGGAACTGGATAGGACCATGGCCATATAATGCACTTCCTCACACCATACATGAGGGACTCTGAGGAAGCCAGCCCAAGGAGCCACCCACACGCAGGGTCAGGCCCAGACTCTGATTCAGGGCTGCCAAGCACAGACCTGGTAGGAACAAGAACAGTTCACAGAAGTTCCTTTCATATTTTGAAGACGTCTGAGGCACAACTGCATTCTCAGTTGGTTTTTTTTCCCCCATCATTAGAGCTTTTTCCTATTTATTTAAATTATCCACTTACTCTAGACCTATTACAATTTGGGTGTATTTTAAACTACCCTTTCCTTGTAATAAAAGAAATGAGATCTGCATCTCTCTTAGCAGCTTTTGATTTCTGGACATAATGGTTACCTGCAAGGTAGACTTACAGGCTTCTTTCTAAGAGGGCTTTGGAGAAACTTTCTTTTAAGCTTTCTGGATTCCCTATAGCATTTCCTTTTATACTTATGCTTTGCAACAGCAGTCCTGAGTAAACCCTAGTAACTCCCATGCTTACCTTCACTGTATGTAGGGACATATTTAAATCAACTAGTTAGTCTATGACGGGTGGAAATGTTCCCATTTTCCTGCTCTGGTTGTGCCTCCTTTTCCTGAGCTTGTACATCTGCTAGTGATTTTTCTAGGGTTAATTTGGGTGTTTTTATTTTTAAATTGGAACATGGTGTCTGTCTCTTCTCTGTGTGTTTTGGATGCAGCCCCTGTGCTAGGCATGCGGTTATTAACTCCACTGATATACCAGTTCGCTCATTAGCATTTGCATTTTAAATTACAAGCTAGAGCAGACGACATTTATGCTATATTTGTACCATTGCCTTCTTCATGAATGATGTCGTATGTGCAGGGAATTCAGAAATAACTCCTCTATAGAGGGCTCTGATGTATTTTAGTCTCTTTTTCAGCAAACTGCTATTTTTTTACTCTTCATTCTTTTTGTTTGATAGGGTTTTTTAAATTCTTTTCCAAGTTTATACCTATTTCTGAGTGCTACTGATTGGGAAGTGCTAATGACAGACCAACCCTTTATATCAAAATAGGAATATTGCGTAGAGTGGCCATCTTTCCTTTTGACTTTGTGCTCCTGGTAAGCAGTCTGCTATGATTAGAAAAGAGGGAATTTTCTCCTCCCAGTTGGATGAGTGGGAAGATATGGTCATGGGTACTTACTTGTTCTTGTATTTTTGCTCACATTCCTCTTTTTTAATAGTTGATTAGTCAGTGGTTATTTATTAACACCTGTTACACTCAACACTGCATGGGGTAAACAGTACATAGCATATGCCTTCAGGGTGCTTATTTCTGACAAACACTAGATTGCATTATCTTACAGCCCATACTTAAATATCAGAATGTAAGACACCAGGTTAGTAAAAGTGGGCTTCTTAAGTGAGAGTTACCTGTTAGTTAAATCCTCTTGGGGAAACTTGCTCTTGGCCAATGGTAACTTCAGCACCTAAATTGCAATAAGCAAGTCAGTTATGTCCAGTCATCTGTTATGAGCCTTCCTAGCCTTACATATGCCTAGCTCTGCCTAAGCGAGGCTTTGGATGGTTTCTGTTTATGGCAGATTCGGGGCAGAAAACAGAGCTCTTGTAGACAGGCCTGCATTCCTGCCATTGTGCCTTTTTCTGTGGTGTCGAATTTTGAATTATTTTAAAACATATCATGAAAATTCCAAGGAAGTCACACATCTAGTAAATCTACATTCTAGGTAAGCAAGCAAATTTCTGCTATTGATACAAAAACAATTTTTATTTCCCCCACTTTGCATTAAAGGTCTTCTCCCATGGAGTCCTCATTCTACTAATTAACAGCTGGAATATCCAATCTATGAAGAGGTGCATCTGAAGTTCATGATCCAAGTACAGATGGTCCATTAGTTTGGAACCTGATCCCACCAAGGTGTGTCATTGCCACGCATGGCACTTAGGCAGTAGTGAAGGAAAGGACACAGTAGGAGCATTCTAAGCCTACTCTTATGTTGATCCATTTCACGCTTTGAGACTGACCTCCCAGTAAACACTGCCATATCATGCTGACGCTGTTCCCTTAGCAAATAGGTCTTACCCTTTGGAATGAGTGTCCGGGGGATGGGTAACTTTTTTCCCTCAGCCCAGTATCACTTGAGCAATTCCAAATCCTACTTCCCTTTTGATACAGCTCTGTATAATTCCTTTGATTATGTTAATTTTATAGTAATTTCTTACCTGGAAATCTGCTGATTCAGAGTTCTCCTAGAAACCCACACCAAGCTTTACAAACACTGGAGTCAGATCTCCAGATAGAGTCAGTTGTCCTGTGAGGGGTCCTTGCACTTGACGTCTTAGGGCTCAGGGATAGTTCCACCTCACATCTTTACATTAGTTCCTTTTCCAAAAAACAAAACACTGACAGAAGTTCTTTTGAGAACTTGACGGGTAAGATGAAGTTGATAAAGAATTGTGACCTACCTCTGTAGTTCTTTTCTTCCCTGGGGCTCATCTGTGTTCGGCACACTCAGCATTTGCCATGCTCTTTAGTGACTCCCATGAACTTCAGGCTCCCAACACTGGCCATTGAGCCTCAAGTGTTTTCTTCTAGTCTTAAGCTTCTTTTGGTGTCTGGACCTGTTACCTGGCAAATTGTTCCCTGTAAGAGAAGAGGTAATTGTAGATAACATGGAGACAGATGAGTGGTCACCTCCAAGCCTCAGAGGTAAGGCAGAACAGGAGATAGAGGAGGCTGGGGTTCCCTGTACGGGCAGGAGAAGGTACATTTGGGTTGCATGGTGGCTGGCATTTAGACGGCCTCTCCAGTAACATTTGTAAATGTTGCCTAATGATGCTGACAGAAGCAATTGAGACAAGCAGATCACTAAAAGAGGCGAGGAATCCCACAGACTCTTTTTCATTGCAGTTGTTAGCAGGTGAAGGGCTGACTGCTGCCAGTCACTCCCCATCCTGCTGAGCCAGGGCTCTGGAGGAGGGGCCTGTGGTTGACTATGGCCCCCAGCCACCCAACCACCCCACCCTCTCATGGTTCTCTGCACCTTCCTCCACTACGTTGTTGGCTTCTGACGGAAACCGTAAATTAAGTGGGTTAGGAATAAACTGCTTGAATGCATTTGTGCAGGATAGCTTCTCTCACCAGCTATCTGAAGTGCTTTTTGAAATACACGGGAGCCCTTTGTGAGCTGCTTTATAAGCTGTGAAGTCCATTGTTGCTGCTCTCTGCAGCCAGCGTGTCTCTAACCTAAGTAATGTCGGCTAGGCTCTGGGCCAGGGTTTGGTGTTAGAAACTCGCATAAGCAGCAGAGCCACCCACCAGGGTCACTAGCAGCTGTTGCAAGTTGGAGGATTTGCAGAAATTGAGATCGCTGTTCCCAGATACTGGCACTTGCCCTGTGATGAAAGACCGAGTCTGTGCGAGGGGCCTCTATGCTTTCCTTCAGCCTTTTCTGCTCAGTCCTCTATTGTGGCGCCTGCTCAATGGCCTCGTTGTGGAGGAGGGTGGCTGAATGGAGGGGTGAGTGGCCTGGCTCTACTGCCATTCCCTCTCTCAGTTGTCCTCAACTGAGACAATAATAGCTCTTTGATCCCCTGAACTTATTCTTGGGGCAGCAATTTCGTGGCACATAGCACAGATGCTGAGGGCTAAGAATTCAACCTCCAGAGGGCAAAGAAATGAACTTAAGCTGAAAGAGAATGTCATGACCCCTGCTTCAATTACCAAGGTGTCCTTGTGCCTTAACCCACCCATCTGCACCAGAGAAGCCAGGGAGGTAAACCAAAGACCAGAAAAGGTCTGTTCTGATAAAGTCATTCATGGTTAGTATGTTTCTGATAACCCAAGAGTGAAATTTTTAGAGGGTGAAGCCATTTTGCACAGTTTCTTCTATCACATAGTTATGCATATTCATATATTAATGTGCTGAGACCAGTGTTATAGGGCCATCTTACTAGAGATTAAACTGCCGAGAAACCAGCATGAACAGCCTGTTTGAGGTGTCTAATCCCCCGACCTCTACCACAGCTCTCTCATCGCCTTTTTATTTATAAAACTGGTCACAATATGAAATTATCTAATTTATTTACTCATTTGCTTTTTAATTTACTCTTGCATCACCAGAATGTAAGCTGCTTGAGGATAGGGACTTTGTCTATCTTGTGGCTTCTGAATCCCTGTAAGAGTTGCTAAAATAACTGACCCCACCCAGAGTCAGCACGGAATAGGTAGTATCTTAGATGAATGAACACTGAAGTTTAAAAAACAATAAAAGCCTGTCTCTATAGAGAATGAGAGCTTGAGCCACAGCAGTTCTAACATGTCAAAGAGCACAAGACTGGTTGTCTACCTGGAGAAGTACACTAAGACTTAGAAATGTCCCTGAGTCACATAGCCTCTCTGGGCCTTGGGGTTTTTCATTAAGTGAGGGAGTTGGATTAGATTTCTCTAGGGTTCATGCCAGGTCTGAATCTCTAATAATAATAGCTTTTACTTATTGAGTATTTATTACATGCTGTGGATTAGCTCATTTAATCTTTGTAACAGCCCTATTAGTTGGATACCTTTATAGTCACTGTTTCATAAATGAGAAAACTGAGGCTTGGAAAGTAAATTGCTAAGAAGCAGTGCCCATTTTCTTGATCTTGTTGTATATGCTGTGACTTAACCATACGTGTCATCATTTAGAATGTAGTGTTTCAACTGGTGCTGAACATACTGTTCCGACGTCCAGTCTTCCTCTGTTTATTGCATCTGCCTGTGCTTTCTTGTTGATGGGGAATCAACCAGGTGTTGCCTTTCTTTTGGGATGACCAAGAGCAAAGCGTAAGGGGACAGTTGTAATGGCCGTCTTAGGAAATGTAGTAATGTGGGTATGAGATATTAGCTGTTGTTTTGGAGTTTAGATTTGTTTTGTTTTCCTGCTCCAGAGATGACACTATTAGGAACACATCTAAGATGAGAGCATGGCTAGGACATGTGATTATGGAGGAGAGAGCAGGTCAGACCTGTGGGATGGGTTTATGAGCTGGGACATTTATGGACAAATTAAACTTCCACCCTGAGTAAGCAAAGTCCTAAGCCAGTTATTACTGTTCTGGCACTTCTAATGGGCCCTGTGCAACCCTTATAAATTATTCAGCTGCTTTACTAATAAAAGGCCAAGCAACTTGCCTAGGCCTGGTGATACTTAAGTATAGCTTGGAGAGAACAGGTTAGAGGGACAGGATATTTGCTGACCATTAAAGAACCATCCTTTCTAATTTGGAGTTGAAAAGGTTAAACTGTCTGGAGTAGCAGAATCTTGAGAGATAGCACATAAAGCTGGTGCTGAAATGGTAACACTGTAGAATAACCCACGGGTTTCCCTCTGAGGAATGCCTGCTAAGGTTCACTGAACTGTTGTTTCTGATGCACCTTTCACAGAGTGTGAAGAAGGTGATTGAGTGCCCCAGGATGTCCAAAGTTTAAGCATCAGAAGTTGGAGTTTTTTAATATAATTCTCATTATTTTTTACTTTGGTATAATTTCCAGGTTACAGAAAAGTTACAAAACAGAAAAAGATGAGCTTCCATTTACCTTCATTGAATTGTTGCCATGTTGCCCCATTTGCTATCCATGTATTTTTAGAATCAGAAAATTTCTGCCACATTGCCTCTTAACGCTTGTGAAACGGCATAGATGTTTTTCCCACCCCATACAGACATGCTTTTTTAAAGAACCCCTGTGGTCATCATAGTTATTCCCTGGTGTGATGTTTATTGCCCCAGACTGGAACGGGAGCCATGGCAATTGTACATCCTGACTTTTCTAGGAATTCCTGCTTTCAAGCGTTCTGTTCATTCAGGCCTAGTGTCAGGTCAGTCGGTCTTTTTGGTTCAAAGATACCACTATAGCAGCTTTGGGGCCCCATCAGGCTCAGATGTTTCCAGGAATGAGAGAACCTGGAAGTAGTACTTTAGCGAAGTGGTTCATAGTCCCGTCTCATAAGCCCCTGGAACGGTGTGTGTCCTACTGTATCTGCGTGTTTTAATGGATCATATTGAAGCAGTGAATCATTTATATACACCTCCAAGCATGTTTGGGTTCTATTTTTTAAAGGTGCTCTGAGAATATCAGTGATTGATTGATGAAGTCTGCCTGTGTCTGCCTCTTAGCCTGCTGCAAGCTGCAGGACGCCGTGGGGAGAAGCCTCTCAGGACAGTGCTTCCCAGCAGCCCAACTAAGGAGCATGACAAGTCCTATTCAAGGCCCCTGACTGCTTGTCTCACATTTCATGGCACAAAGTTTTAAGAGAAAGCCTATTTTTATTTCAACTTTGCACACTGTTGTATTTGTTCTTACAGCTTCCTGAGTTTTCACTGAAATGAATACTGTGTTGGTAGGTGTATTTGCCTTCATTGATTATGTTTCTTTCAACTTCACTACATTCTGTTTTTTCATTCATTAGTGAACAGCCTTGGTCTTATAATAGCAAGAATTGTCACAATAATGATAACCATTATTGGCATTTGTACTTCTTAGTCAAGCATTTTACCCCCATTGCATTCTCATAGAGGACTTCAATAAGAGTGTTATCTTTCAGTACAACAGGAAATGTTCAGCTTAGTAGAGTTGGGATAGGAAGCCTAGTCACAGGAGAATAAAATGGTGAAAGGTGAGCTTGAAACATTTTAAAGGAAAGTTGATAATAGAAAGTTCAGTGAACAAAAAAAATTAGAAGACCTTGTTTCTCATCCAACTCTCCTGCTCAATGTATATGGCCTATAACAAGTCTTACTCAGGTGTCTGACCCCACTTCTCTGATCCTCATTGGCTGTACTTTTATGGGCTTTAACCTATGACTCCCAGATATGGTCCTACCTATGTGGCTTTGGATTGTATTAAATGATGTTCTTTGAAGCCATTATGTTGTGAACTCTTGCCCTTATTCTTAAATTTTTGAGTCTGAGATCAAGTCAAGTGACCAGTAAATTGAGTTGATTGATTCTTCCTCCCCCACCCACTACACACACATAAAGGTAATCTTATGAGTAGGATATGACAGTTTAGAAGACAGCTGGTGTCTTCTCTGAGTTCATCAGATAAACACTAATTGGATGACAGAGCTCAATTTTAAAGTATCCTGAACTCTGGTGAGTTAGCCAAGGGCTAATGCTAATACCATCGATCCAGTTCTCAGAAGAGCATTTAGGGCCCTGATGAGATGAGGACCAAGGGCTCTGGGATGGCCCCAGAGAGAAGTCCATACACTGTCTTGTATTCTCTTAGATTCTTCTTTGGGGAAAGCTCTTGTTTGGGATATACCATGTGCTCAAATGTCTCCCAGATGTTAATGTAGGGCCTGGGCCCCTACAGGGCCCAACTGTTTTATATTCCTTGTTCTCTTGGTGGGGTTATTGATTTATTGTGCCAAGCATTGGCTCGTTCTGGAATTTGTTTTCTTCCTCACGTGCTCATTTTGAACCTACAGATTTTAAATACATAAGCTGAGAAATGCAGAAGTTTAAAATTCTGTTAAGAATGCTGGTTCGCCCACTTCACACATGGGGTATATTAAGGGTTCACCTTTAGCAACAGCCCAATTAGTAATTGCCAATACTGCTTCTGTACGGTGTGGGACTGTTAACAGTTGCTATGAG